AGTTTAACGTTGCCGTGTCTCCCACGTGCAGTAAGTTTTTCTCGATCACGACGTCTAATTCGGTATTCAGCTCGTTGCACGGATGACTCCTCGGAAGATCCGCGCTTTTCGGAGGAGGTAAGTCGTAGCATTTTTTGGTCGCTCAACCTGACAGAAAAGTTAGCCCTCCCTCGTAACAGGTGTCGGGGCGACCGAAGTTATCGGTCTTTCTGTCAAAGTAGTAGCAGGCGAGAGAGCCGTTTCTTCTCACCTGGACGGCGGGGTCGGGTATGCTGAACACGCTGTCCTTACACACGTTCGCGTGATATTCGACGAGAAGGGGAGGTGCGTCGGCTTTCGCGATTTCCACCCAAGCGTTCGCCGTGTTCTGCCCGTACGAGCAACCGTACAATCCTGCATCCCGCAACTTGACGTTGACGATGATCAGCATGTGTTCGTGACCGTCATTGCAAACTTGACGATGACTTCTGTCGTCGCCCACGTCCTTTCCGTTTTTCGTCCAAGACACCGAGAAGGTCGACCGCGTCGTCGTACATCTCAGGATTATCATTCCCCTGACTTTCGGTATCTGCACCTCGGGAAACAAGGAAACTTTCTCCATCTGCTGCGCCTTAGACTTCGCGTTCGATTCTTTCGTTGTCGAATCCTCCGCTGTCTCTTATACACATCTAGATGTGTATAAGAGGACAGTCTCGCTTCCTGGCCGACGAGAACTTTCACCGAGTTGCTCACCACGCCGTTAGAACCGGAACAAGCGTAGAGACCTTCGTCGCGCGCGGTTACGTTTCGCAAACGAAGAGAATGAATCAACCCACACTCTTCGGCCAACGTTTTTTCCTCTCGAGCCGGGTTGGGCATAATCCAAGTAATGATTACGGGTTGGAAAAAGTAGCACACCAAGTTTAACGAACTGCCCTCCGCGACGGAGCGCGAGTCCGTTGCGATGATGACACCTTTCGCATTGCTCCACCTACGACACGGATCGTCCGGCAGGATGCAACAGATCGACTTTTCCGAAAACTTGCATTTTTCTCGGTCCGCTTCTATTCCCCGATCGCTGTACAACGCAACGACCGCTATATTATTCGACGCACAAGGCACCATCGTTGCGAGAATCTCCATTGGGAGAGGGCCCTTTACGCCGAAGCACACCCTGTACCAGAAACCGGGCGTCTTGCCGTACCACGCTTCGTTGATCACCCACGATGCTCGGAAGTTTCGGGATCCCTCGGATAAAGCGGTCGTCGTCGGATCGATCACGAACGAATCCGCAACCACAACACGAGCGTTCCGGTGACTCGTCTTCCAGGTTCTTGAAGCGGAAAAGTAATCATTGGAATAGCACGAGTATATCCCGGAAGCGTCGAGGTCGACTCCGACCACCTTCAGCATGCTGGTCGTCAGGTCTTCGGTGACGTGAACGGTCGCGAAACCCACTCTCTTATTCGGCAACTGCCAACGGACGTCCAAGGCCTTTTTCTTGCCGTGG